GCTGAAGAAGGGGGTCAGTGTCGGGGGGCTTTGGGATGAGGCTCTGGGTGGCATCGTGGTGGTCCCCGAGCTGGCACAGTACAGCTGGTTTCAACCTCTGAAGTGTTTGGAGCAACCCCCCTGCCTGTGCATGCCACCCCAAATCCCAGAATCATGGAATTGCCTGGATTGGAAAAGCCCTTTAAGCTCATCGAGTCCAACCATGAACCCAACACTGACCAGTCCCCTATGACTAACCCATGTCCCTCAGCACTGTGTCTACACGACTCTTCAATCCCTCCAGGGATGGGGACTCCACCACTGCCCTGGGCAACCCCTTCCAATGCCTCAGAACCCTTTCAGCAAAGAAATTCTTCCTCACACCTCATCTCAACTGCCCTGGCCACAACTGGAGCCCATTTCCTCTTGTCCTGTCCCTTGGTCCAAAATCTTTGGGATGCCCAATGGGTGCTACAGCCCCTGACTCAGAAAAGCCCCCACCACACTGCTCCAAATTAAGCTGTAAACGCTCTGCTGAGTGAGGAGAAGCCGAGTTAATACCCCGGAGCCGCCCCAGCGCTGTGATTTCTGTCCGATGAGAAAACCCAGGGCGCTGGGATTAACCCAGAGCGCGACGCTGCTGCCGTCCCTCCTCCGGGAGGATTTACCAGCCGCATCCCAGCCTCGTCCCACTCCATCCACATGGATTGATTTTGTACGGTGGGAGCAAGATTTAATGACTCTGCGTCCTCTGCTCGCACAAGAAGGGAGTAAAAGGGCTTCAGAGGGATCAGACATTAATTTCAGCCATATCCCCATTAAACCTTTGAGAAGCGCCGGGGATTTTCTCAGGGATTTGCTCCCATTTGGTATTTTTTTGGCTGTGGCAGAGCCTTGCCCCTCTCATCTCTCCCATATCTCTCCCTAGGTCCCTTTCTTCGGGAAGCGCCAGCACCACACCTGCCCCTGTTTACCCAACTTCATATGCTCCAGGACATTAATTTCAGCCATATCCCCATTAAACCTTTGAGAAGCGCCGGGGATTTTCTCAGGGATTTGCTCCCATTTGGTATTTTTTTGGCTGTGGCAGAGCCTTGCCCCTCTCATCTCTCCCATATCTCTCCCTAGGTCCCTTTCTTCGGGAAGCGCCAGCACCACACCTGCCCCTGTTTACCCAACTTCATATGCTCCAGGTTCCTCGCCGGCCGCTACCGCTGCTCCATCGACTTCAAGAGCATTGATTTTTAGGGTGATACTCTCAACTCTCCATCCACCAGCACCCAGCACCCATTTCATGCCTTCTCCCGTGGTTATTGGGTGCCCTCATAGCACCAAACAACCTTAAAAGTGCTTTTATTTTGAGACAGTGTTGTTTTAAGCTGTATGTTATATGGGGAAACTGAGGCACGGTCAGGCTGAGCTGCTCCTACGTGTGGCTTAGCAAAACTCTGCCCCAGCCTGGAGCTGGATCTGGCTCCAGCATCCAAGAACAGTGTTTGTAGCCTGAAAAATCCCTTTCCCACGCTGTTGTCTGCATGTGACAGAGGCTGTGTTAGATTTCACCTTCATTTTAATCACTAAAAATCCAAGGGGATGTAATTTGGGAAGAGTGAAAGTACATGCCAAGCACCCAGCAACCCAGAGCTTCCTCCTGTGTTTTTTATCCTGGCACATGATAAAATTGGGGATTTGAGACCTGATTTTAGTGATTTTTATGCTTTTCAGTCACGTTCTAGGAAAGGCAAAAAAATCAGTGAGATAAAAAACTTCCTTTTGGGGGGAATTTTATCAATTTCCCCACAATTACTGCTGGATAAATAACTTCTGTAATGATAATTCCCATTGTCTTATTACCTGATTGTGTCTCTTATTTTTTTTTCCAACTTATTTTATTCCTGGAAGCAGCAGTTGGAGCTGGTGATGGATGATCTAATCATCTACCCAGCAATTAAAAATAAAATCAATATCAAGAAGCTGTGGGGAATTAAGGAATCGGGTTCCCCAAAGTTCAAGCCATGTGATGTGTTTGGCAGAGGTTGAAATTGAGCTGGTTGGACCCAAAATTGAGGCTTTGGGATGTAGAAAAATGTTTTCCAGCCTCAATATCTGCCTGGGGTTCAGGCACCGTCTTGAGGTTTGGGAGCCACTTTGTATGTAGATGGAATTTGGGAGGAGAATGGGATGTTAAAGTTCATTAAATGTGTTAAAAGTTCTCTCAGACACGCGCTTTGAGTTCTCTTGTGGAATAATTGTGTCTCGCTGGAGGTTCCCTCCTGCTTCCAACTGTAACCCCGGCAATCATAAATAAAATAAATAAAGAAATTAAAATGAATAATCAAAATTTATAGCAAAAATTATTATTAATATTAATATTATTATTATTAATAATAACCCCCTGGTTGGTTTCCTTTCAAGCACAAGCAGTGTTTAAAGACAAAGTTTATTCTGGGGGTTCAAACGCGTCCTTGGGGTTCAGTGCCAGGAGCTGCAGCGTCCTCCTGTGCTCCGGACCCTCCCTTGTTTTGATGGATTTTGGTGGGTTTTGGTGGGTTTTGATGGATTTTGGTGGGTTTTGGTGGGTTTTGATGGATTTTGGTGGGTTTTGGTGGGTTTTGATGGATTTTGGTGGGTTTTGGTGGGTTTTGATGGATTTTGGTGGGTTTTGGTGGGTTTTGATGGATTTTGGTGGGTTTTGGTGGGTTTTGATGGATTTTGGTGGGTTTTGGTGGGTTTTGATGGATTTTGGTGGGTTTTGGTGGGTTTTGATGGATTTTGGTGGGTTTTGGTGGGTTTTGATGGATTTTGGTGGGTTTTGGTGGGTTTTGATGGATTTTGGTGGGTTTTGGTGGGTTTTGATGGATTTTGGTGGGTTTTGGTGGGTTTTGATGGATTTTGGTGGGTTTTGGTGGGTTTTGATGGATTTTGGTGGGTTTTGGTGGGTTTTGATGGATTTTGGTGGGTTTTGGTGGGTTTTGATGGATTTTGGTGGGTTTTGGTGGGTTTTGGTGCTACAGCAGCAACTGATTCTATTTCTAAAGCCCCCAAAAACACGTTTGAGTTATTGTGAAGAATAAAGTGAATTGAGATTTGGTGTTTGATGCTGGCTTGGAAAGCTTCCCCACGCTTGTTTCTCCCTGACAAAATATTGTAAATTTGGTGAAAATAAACCACTGCAATGACCAGGTTGATTTTATTTTATTTTATTTTAT